GCTCATTGGTGGGCCAGATGGATAGCCCTTTTTCAGAGATAAACAAATAAATGAATAAATAAAAAACAGAACAAAGATATCTGAAACTCCTATGTTGAATAGTTTTTGAGGTATAAGCATTTTTGTATGTCCAGAAACCCCATTTCAGATGGAGCCCCCTCCCCAAGTATGGGGTCTTTCATAAAACCGTTGGCTGGCTCAGTGTAGGTCGGACACATCTACATTCCTAACAAATTTCACGTTGATTGTAGCGACTGGTGCGAATTTCAGTGATAAAGTTGACCAAAAATTACACACACAGAAAAAGGTTTTAAATAGATAAACAGAATGAAACCACTTCGTATGTGGGGGGTCATAATTGTTGTAGTAACAGAACACTGTCAGATTGGATTTATATATCACCTTTATTCAGTTGAATCCAGCCAACACCTTAAAGAGTAAAATACACGAGATGTATGGAAGATGGATAGAAACTATCCTACCTGTCAACAGAAACAGCAGCCAGGGTGAAGCTGCTGGCGTACATGGTGAGGTTGATGAAGAAGTGGACCGCTTTGCACATGAACGAGCCGAACACCCAGCCCTCCAGGGAGTAGATGGTGGCTTGGAACGGGACGCAGAAGATGATGAAGAAGAAGTCGGCCACGCTCAGGTTGAGGATGAACAGATTGGTCGTGTTGTAGCCGACCTGCCCGCTCCGCAGCAGCACGGCCAGCACCAGGCTGTTGCCGATGGTGCCGAGCAGGAAGATGAGGGAGAAGACCACCGACACGATCACGCTGGTGGGGTTCAGCTGGTAGCTGTCAGACACGTTGGCCTGCCCTCCTGCTCTGCTGAAATCCTCAATATCAGACATGTTGAGAGTCTGGAACAAGGGAAGGCAAGAAACATTCATGTCAAGCAGGGGAGGAGCCAGAGGGGTGGCTGGGGTAGCAAGTACCAACCGCAGGTGCTACCCCCAAATAACTGACAAGTGGGTGGGGATGTTGGATCTTGTATTTGCAAATTTTGTTAAAAAGTGTTCTCTGATACTTCTTTACTGTATACATTTTCAACTGTGTATGTTTAAAAATGCAGATTTTTAGCACATTGGAAAATTAGCATTAGCATCAGTGGATAGCTTAATTTGGGATTAGCATTAGCATCAGTGGTTACCTTAATTTGGGATTAGCATTGGCAACTGGCATGTGATCATTCTTAGCTATTCCATAACTAATTTAATCTCAATAAGTCTTAAAATGGCTTTGCAGTTTAGCTGTGGTGGCCATCTTGAATTTTTTGATTAGCATTTGAAATTTAGTACTTCTAATCTTCTGCTGTGTATGTCTAAAAATGTCTGAATAATAAGCTGCGACTAGCATTCAGCATGTTTTTTAGATAATTTTTTGTTATCATCACACGATTGTTTTTACTCAATATTTCTTAAAACAGATGAAATTAAGTAATATGGAATTAGCTGCGGTGGCCATGTTGAGTTTCAAATCCAGAGTGCTTTTCTTTTAGTATGCACCTCACTAAAAAAACACCCTGGCCATCCCTGGAGATGGCCACTCCTTGCAAAGAAAGTATAGCTCCACCCCTGATGTCAAGAATATCTGATCAATATCAATATAATCTAATCTACTACCACATCAAACTTTGGTTGTTGTGGACATCTTTGTGTTAGCTAAATACTGTGGTGACCATTTTGAGTTGGCCAGCCTTAGAAAGTTTTAGTAAAACAACCCTGTGGTTCATGAGATGTTTTGCTAACACAGAACAGACCATAGAGCACAAAAAGACAAAAGTGCAACAACACTGTTGTTGCTTCGCCTACAGAAAAAAAAGATGGATTGTGATGTGTTACCAGATGAGTACCCCAAGAGTATTTCCGGCTTTTTATATATATATATATATA